AAAAGTTGCTGACTCAACACGTGATATCCTTTAGCTTTACAATATTTTACATAAGTTTTTTCTTTTTCACAACGGGGAGACGCGTTAAATTTTTGAGGGCACCCCCGAGAAAACTTTTTTTTTCCTTTCGTGTAAAACTTATACAAACTTTTTCATCCTTCCACGACGACAGTAAAGCTTGCACGAGCCATCAAAGCTCTCTTTTCTATTTCACGGATCGTTACAGTTGCAATTGTTTCAATTTTTCCTTCAACCTCCTTCGACATTTTCCATTGGAAAAAAAAAAAAAGAGAGAGACGCTACATCGCAGTATCGCACGCGTTCTGTTCTTGTATGCAGATGGAAACGGAGAGTATCGTAGTTGCATTGAGAGAATGGGTGTCACAAAAGAAGAAAATAAGAGCAGAAGCAGACGAGAAACGCAGTCGTCGTCCATTGATTAAAGAAAAATAAAAGAGAAGCCTATATGCAGTCTCGTTATAAGTATACGAATGTGTACCCAGACGCGTCGCATCACGTGGGCTGCAGTGGAACAAACGCGTATATTTATATATACCCATACAAGAATGGGTTACGGGTTGTTTGTACAAGTGCTCGAATTTTTATCCGCAAGCTGCACGTAATGTGTGCATAATGTATGCGCGGCTGGCCCATTGTTCTCTTCTCTCTCTGTATAAAAGGAGGCTTTCTCTCTCTTACCGGTACACGCGAGTGTATAATATCCGATTTGGGAAGTGTCTCTCGGCGCGAGTATACAATACGCGTGAGCGCAAAGTGAGAGGAGGGAGAAAATTACCAGTCGACGGTGTAATGCTCGGGGATATATTTTGTATTCCCAATCGGCTCGCCAAGATTATATATCATGTATCTCTTGCGCATACCGATATTTACCGATCGCGGACGGCTCTCGAGATTTTTATTTACTTTTTTTTACTTTGTCTTTGAGCTTGATCTTATTTAAAAACTTAATCGCGACCAACAGATTGCGGAAAGTCCCAAGAAAATTAATCGCTCGACCGGTCGCGGTAGCTAAATCTGTTACGTACACGTCACATCATCGAGGCGTGACGAACGGTACTTTTATTTATTGCTGTTGATTTTTTTTTTTTTTTTTGCGTCCCAACGCTTAGAGAGCCGATAAACACGCCACAAAAGCAGTTTTGAAAAGTTTACACTTTATAAACACACGCGTTGGCTGTACCTTAATTTTTTTTTTCTAAATAGCTTGGACGCGTGTACATGGAAAAGGCGAGACTTTACAACAACATCGTAATCATGATCATCAGCACCGTTGTCGGGGTACATCGCAAAAAACTTATGATAAAACACGTTACACTACAATCCAACGAGGCGCACTTCTTTGCTACAACACGTATAAATGCTGCAATATCGTAAGCGTCTCGCGAGGATCATTAGCCGGCCGTCGCCTTCGCTGGTGGTGGCACATATACGCCACAACACACATATACCTACACCGCGAATGGCCGCGTAATTATGCGACGTCTGCGATTTAACGATCATATAAGCGCGCGCGTGTGTACGTAAGTACGTTTGTTTGTTGATCAAAAGGCCTTGCTCAACTCGATGCCGATTTATTGTATATACCCACAATGTACACACACATGTACATTACAATCGTCGAAAAGATATTTCCTGAAGCGAGAGCGCGGTTGTGTGCAAGTATTACTATAGTGTCGTTCCGAGCCGGTTAGCTGGGATTTATCGCACGCACACACGCGCGCGATCGCGTATCCGGTGTGTTCGCGGGTGCTCGTTCATTGAGACGACGCTGATGTGAGTGGTATATAACCGCTGGGTCGGTTGCAGGCGCCACGGGACCCAATGGGGGCTACTGTGCGATCCTATTGTGTATTACCTTATACTCGTTTATACAATGGAGGAAGCGCAAACGAGCTTGGAGGGTATACGCTTTCGTCGCTCCCGTGCGCTGATGGTTCTGCTTTTTTTTTTTTCGCTCCGCCCGATGCGCGTTCCGGATTTTCCGGCTCGGCGATGATGAGCTCTATTACCCTTCCGAGCGGCAGGCTGATTTAGGGGAATCATGTTTATGTAATACGTGGGTACGAGCTTGCTCACTGGTTGGCTGCCCGTTGGGTCGAAATTTACGAAATAAGCGCGAATCACAGGGTCTGAAGGTCTTTGGAACATTTGTACCTCCTCACAAGTGTGAGTTGGTGTTGGTAGAAAACAAAATTCAAAGCCACATCGAATTCGAGTACAAAACATAATTGTTTTGTCCTCGTATAGAGTGTGAGATATTTGATGAAAAGAATGTTGAGAAAATATGAAGCGCGAAAAAGCGTCGTGGCTATTAAAGAAACAATTTTTTTGTTCGTTATCACATTCGATGGTCTAAAATCAATTAAGAAAATCAGCCGCACTCCCATCCTCGATTAACATTTCAAAAGTCGTCACACAGCCTGCGTTACGCAGATGCTCACCATGTACGTACAGTGTACCAATGACAATGTAATCCATTGTGCGTGAAATTGTACCTTGAAAGCCAAGTAGGTAAAAAAAAAAAGAAAAAAAAAATAACCAACACTCCGTCGATCAAGATAAAAGGCGCTGGAAACAAAAAAAGAACATTGTACGGGCTCGCCGGTGTGTATACGCGTTATACAAGAGCCAATTTAAACGATCCCTCGACCGTTTCGTCACGCAAGAGAGCCGCAGAAGCGTAAGAGAAAACGAAAAAAATAAAAATAAAAAACAATTTTCTTTTTTCAAAGACCCGAAACGCGTCGACGCATAAAATTTCCAGCGGAGCGTTGCAAAATCTCAAACAAATACAAGTGTAAGTACGGGCGCCAATAATCATCGATGAGTAAACGCGCTACTGTGATTCAAAAGTCGTTACTGCTAACCAACTTTGACGCTCCCCGTATCCTTTGCCGAGTGCGGGAACGCGTGAAAAATTAAATCGAGCCGCGTGTAATCCGCCAAAGAACGGAAGAGCCGCCCTCCGAGGCGCGTCGAATTCAATGTACCTACGTTACATATATAGGTGCGTGGCGTGCGAAAGAGGGAAGTTAACTAACGAACCGCGACGCGCCGCACACCAAGCCAATAACGTGTAATATCTTATTCTCATCGCCAGTGTAAATATGTATGTAGATCCCCCTCCGTCACGTGTATACATCCATGTATACTATTTTCACTGTACGTATACAAGGGCTAAGTTGAAAGACAAAAATAATATGTTGATCGATCGGTCTGTAATATCCTCGGCTGACACAAGAGGAATGGATTCTCAAGGTTCCCCCCCCTCGATCGTTTTCGTGCAAACTGCACATTATTTCTTTTCTTTTTTTTTTTTTCTCTCACCTGCGTATGGGCATACATTCTCACACGAGTATAAATATATAACAACAGAGCCGACGGAACAGAAGCTGTATTATGTAGATAAGGGGGGTAAGGAAAAAAATTATATATTATGCCTCTCGCGTGCGCTTCTTACAAGCTGTTAAGGCCGCTTGCGTTACGTGCGCTATGCTATGCAAATTACGAGACTCTTTTGAACTCTCTGCAGTATAGTTTCGCGGACACTCTGCGTGTGTGTGTGTGTGTGTGTGTGTGTGTGTGTGTGTGTGTGTGTGTGTGTGTGTGTGTGTGTGTACTTACTTATGCGCGAGAGTGTGTGTGTGTGTGTGTGTGTGTGTGTGTGTGTGTGTGTGTGTGTGTGTGTGTGTGTGTGNTAACCCCTAAATCCTTTTTAAATAAAAAAAAAAAAAAAAATGCCTTTGGGGGATGCAAAAAAAAAAAAAAAAAAAAAAAAAAAAAAAAAAATAATGTGAATGGGCTATAACGCGACTACCAGGCATCCGAGTAGGATTTCGTCAAACTTAAATGAAACACACGTAGCGTGTCTCGACAGCAAAAAAAAAAAAAAAAAAAAATATGCAAAAAAGTCGCGTTCTCTGTTTTTTACAGAGTCATTTTAGACCACCGTTCGAGCATACCACAGTGGACGGAATGTTAGAGTCCTCGGTGGGATTTTTTCGGCCGCTCCTTTGGCACTTCGACAAACGCGTGCGTGCAATTTGTTCCGCGAGGCGCGTAGAGCAAGAAATTAAAAAGAAAAGACCTATTTAAAATTATCACTTTCACACTACGTGTTATTTCGCTTTTTTTGTTTCAGGTGTGCAACGAGCGTGCAAAGTTTTTTAGAACAAGTCGAGTTGAACCATCAAGAAAACACGTGATCGAGCTAATGATGTGATCCGACGGATCATCGTGCGTTCGCCGGTGAGTGTTGCACAAACTATTAAACCTGTACTTAGTTAGAAAAATCGAGTACTTTTATACTTGTGACACGATTGTGCTCGTGAAAGCTTTTAATATTTATCTTTACGAAAAGTTACCCTTGTGATTTTCTTCACCACCACAAACTACCACGTGTTTTTCCGTACACCTCGACCCTTATATTCTCTAAAATACTGCCAGTGAAAAAAAAAAAAAAAAAAAAGAAAAAGAAAGAAAGCAATATCTATTGTCATCCCCTCCAATTAAACATCGCAAGTCTAGTCCTTTGGGTGTCGACTCCGTATACGATCCGACGGTTGGCGAAATGAAACCCGGCACGTGTTCCCGCTCGCCGTCCAACTGACACCTACATGTACACGGAAAATCCTTTGATTCTACAAGAAAGCACGCGTATAAATCCAACGCGCCACAATCCCACAATAAGCCCCTGCGCGCAAAGGTAAAGAAAAGAAAGCCCCACCGCGTATCTGAAAAAGTAACCGCGAGTTAATCCCGTCCCCCCTTGGAAAAAAAAAAGTCAAAAGCATCTCCCCGAAAGAAGAGGAACAGAAAAAAAGAAAAAAATCATCCCCTAACAGCTACGAGATCGCGTGCGACGATCGGGGAGGCGCGAGAGCGTGAATCAACGGCAAAGCGCCGGGGCGAGAGATAAACAGACGCGTTTACATAGACGGATGGATATAGATCCAAAGGATAAACAATGGTGTACTCACGGGGTGCCGGGCGGCAGCTGCGGCGGCGACAGCTGCCGCGTTGATGCCGCCGCTCGGGTACATGATAGCTGCGTCCGCGGAGCTTGGATCGTCGGTGCGAGCCTCGAACGACTGCTCCTGGGGTAAACAGCCGCCGAGGATACCTTGGTAATCCTGAATGTAATCAGCGAGGGTGGTGTCGTTCAGCGGCACCCCTGCGACCCAGACGGGTGGAAAAAGTGACGATAGATCGAAGCGCAGTGCTGCAGCTTCGGCGCCGTTGCCGGGCTCTCGAGGCACCGATATCACGCTAGTCTTACTCTATACGGTCGATCGGCTGAAGCAAGTGTAGGGGGTTGCAGGGGCAGGGAGGGATTAAACACGATATGTAAGCACAAACACCGGTTGATACTGTCGGACGACCACCGCCACCACTACCACCACAATTGATCTTGATTTTTTTTTTTTTTTTTTTTTTTTTTACGTGAAAACTAAATATTTCACTGAACGGTTGAACCAACGATTACGAATGAACCATCACACCCGAACCGGTAACTCTCCCCGAGGGCGAAACTGCACATTTTAATTTAATATATTCAAATATTAACGCACTTCATGAATTCGCACGGTAAATATATATATATGTAGATGCACACATGTATTAAAGACGATGAGAGTGCAAGTGTATATATATAGTGTATGGGCATATATATAAGCACCGAGGCGATCTTCTCTCCTCGGCGATCGGATGTCAACTAATCAGCAGCAACAGAGCAGCATAGCAGGCGAGCGAGCGCCGCGTCGACGCTCTGCCGCGCTCCCTTTTTCCCCCCGACTCTGCCCGTTGCCCGCCTGCACGGCGTATCTGCAGCCGCTCCCCTCTGCCCCATCCTCTCTTTTGCTTCGCTCCTTTCGACGCCACAACTCTCTGCTATATATACATGTATATGTATTTACGAAAGTGCGAGCAAGAGAAGGAAGAACACCCCCACTATCTTTCTCTCTCTTCTTCTTCTTCTTCTTGTTCTTTCAGTGCCTGTGTGGACTACTCAGGCCTCTTCTTCTGGTACACGCGCATAATGTATGTGTGCCGAAGGTGGGCCACTCCGTTGCTCCAAAGTGGCTTCCATCTCTCTCTCTCTCTCTCTCTCTCTCTCGTTCTTTCATCCTCTTTGGCTGTATGGTACCTACGTGTAGGTATAATACATAGGTACCTACCAGGCACTTGGGTTCTCTCTGAGTAACGATGATGGTGTAAAGAAAAAAAAAAAAAAAAAAATCAGTTTAGTTTTAAGATATAAGGTAAAAAAATGAGATTGATAATTTTAATTAAATCAGGTGTTAAACAAAAAATTATCGAAATTAACGTTTATGCAGAGCAAACCTTCACAGGCGTCGGCAAATTTTGTTCGGGATAGAGCGGTTAGATTTAGTGACGGTTTTCCAAGCCATGAAATGTGCGGTGATACTTCTTCATCCCCAGAAAAAACATGCCTAAAATAGATCGCTGCGCAATCTACAGCATTAACACCTCCTAGGTACACTAGGTAATTTACCTGCATTTACAGTGACAACAAAATTTATTTATACAGATGGGTTTATTTACCAAGATTTCTAATAAATGAAATATTAAGAATCAATTATTATTTACCAATTCTTCGAACNTTTTTTTCTTCCGCGTGGATCCTCCGCTGTAGGATTATTGGATGTTCGTTTGGAGATGAGGAGCGTTGGAGAAAAAATTCATTTATTTTGACTCGAAGGAGCGCGTGGGGCCCGGGGTCTAATTAGCCGCTTGTGTGCGAGAGGTATATATACAACCTGGGGATGGTTTATGATCTTTGGGTTTTTTTGTTTTTTTTTCTTCTTTTTTTATTTTGATCTTTCCCCTTCCTTTTCTGGCGAAGGAGAAATCTGTAGTTGTTGGCTTTGAGAATTATTGGGTGTCGGTGAAGGCACTTTTTTCTTCCTCCCTTTTTTTGATGGAGCTAAGAGTTCCTTTTTCCTCCAATATTTTTTTCTGGACAAGGTCTACTGAGGTTACCCTACATGAATTAAAAAGGAAAATTAGTTTGGAGTGTCTTTACGGTTTTTGAGAAAAAGACGTATTGGATGGGATCCGAGTTTTACCATCACGGACGTGACGAGACGAAATAAGTGGAGAAACCTGCGTCGGTTACAACGATTAAGGATTGTACGGGACTATTTCCATGCCCTAAGGAATCACAAAATTCCAGATGACCCTCGTAAAGCGATTAAAAACTATTACACGTGAAAATACCCATACGTGTTTGTCCTGAAGATCAAATCGTATACGTGGGATGATAAACTATTACCACTATTTAGATACCACTATTTGCACAATGTACCTTTTGCTTTTAATACTACAAAATCGATGTAAAAACACCCATGTAAGCATCAATTCCAATACTGTATCAAATAAGCACTCCGTCATACTCATATTGTAACTGTACCTATATGAAAATCAATAAAGGCAGTGTATATACCTCACTCGAGGTGAATACACTTTAATATGAAAAAAAAAAAAAAATTTATACATGGAGAATATTTATAAATTTATTCACTTACAGCAGTAGAATTCGGAAAATGTATCAAAAGTTCATGGATTTCATAACGAAATTTTGACGAAAAAATAACCCTAACTACACAATGTACAAAGAAACACACCACACACACGTTTGTTCGTGCAAAAAGACTCGGTTTTTACTGCAGCTCGACACAGAGCAACAGGACACTCAGCCACGCTATTATTTAAATACCCACCCGCTTTCTACTCTTTCCTTTCTACTTACAATTTTTTTTTTTTTCTTTCTCCCTTTTGCTAATGTACGCGGTAGGTTGTACTTACACGCGACAACGACGCATTTGGAAGCTCTCTTTCCATACCTGGCTTCCGGCAAAATTAGAGGCCATGCCATTCTCTTACTTCTCTTGTTCCTGTGGCAGCTCTCGTTTCTTTTTTTCCATCTCAAAAGCTGGTCTCTTTTATCTCTCGGTGCTGTGAATTTTCTTCTCTTTTTGTTTCATGCCACTGCTTGTGAGCTTGCGGAAAGCTCAGAGTCTCTTTTCGCAGTGATTTTAATTTTTTCTGCCGAGAAAAAAAGAGCACCTGCAAAATGAACCCTTTGTTACGAAATATCAATTAATGTGCTTGTTTGTCCTTGATTTGTTGATCCATTTTACCTTCTGTGAGATTTAAAAATAATTACTCGGAATTTTGATCAGGAACTTGATAAATACGGTTATTTTTTCTGTCAACATTTCAAAACAAAAACGTTGAAGCAGTCCTGCGCACAAGTAATTTTAGTATTAATGAATATTGGCTGTTAACCATAGTCATTATTTTTTTTAATTTTACTTGGCAATGGCGAAATTGGTGCAAATGACAATTAATATCAGCTGTTAATCTTGTGATCTATAATTCTTTCTTTTACCTTGTAGTTATTTATTTTTTATAGTTCCTAATACATCAACATGGCGAGGAAAATTTTTAGATTACCCTAAATCCTTTTTAAATAAAAAAAAAAAAAAAATGCCTTGCACTTATCCGTAATGGTAACTTATTTTTTGCCTCCAACCACTCTCGTCTCTTCCACTCAACTTTTTTGTCTGCTGTCACCTTCCCGTTGTGTCGTGCTTATCTCGTCACTTTTCACTGATCAACACAACTCCTCCCCGTGGCAGGGTATAATACGCATATAAGATCGCACGCTTGCGAATTTACATCCCCTTCTCGAGTTAGGCGACAGGCAGACAGGCATATTTTGCGCTCGCAAGCTCTTCTTCTTTCTCCACCTTCTTCTCTCAGCGAGACGACACTTACCACTCTCAACTCTTTTTTTTTTTCCAGGTTGTTACGTATCATTTTTTTCACGTGTCACGTATAAAAAAAAATACGGCTCATCAGCTCAAACCTTTTTTAGCGTTCAAGCATTTAATGATGGAACCCAATGACTCATCAGTACAGTAATGAATAAATAATCCATGGAACTAAATCTACAAAACAATTCAAACTCTTGGCCCTTACAAACAAAAGGAAAAAAAAAAAGGTGACGAATCATCTTCCCACCAGCGTTATACACATCCGAGAAATGAACGCGCCATTTAACCCGAGCTTGCAAGCTCCGCAATAGTTTCCAAAATCCGTGCCCTCTCCACTTCCTCCTCTCAAACACACACACACACACACACACACACGCGCGTTCCCTGACTTTTGCAATCTTCCCTCCACTACGAGGGGTGGTACAACCAAACCCCTCAGAGTCTGCGCTTGTATTCATCTTTTCTCCCTTCGCCCCGGCATTTTTACCCTTCCCCTGGCTATGACACCACGAGGGACGAGAGAGTCGAGATTAAGTGTCACCCAGACGGCCTTTGGGTAGTATATCTGTACCATATATATAACGTATACATGTATATATANAAGTAATCGTGAAACTGAGAATATCGAAAATCGCTCGGATGAAAGGAAATTCAGTGAAAAAGTTTCAAAGAATCGTCATTCGACTCGATTACGACGAGCATCTATTATATATATATATACAGCACAGCCGAGGCTTCTGGAAATAACACGAGGGGGCTTGGGCTGCCGTCTGTGTGTATTTACACGCTCGCACGCAGGAAAGGGCAAAGTGATAATAACCGCTTGGGAGAGCCTGCGGGTGCAGCGGCCGGGAAGCCAGAGTCTGTCCGTCGAAAACTCGGGGAGGGACGGTGTACAGAAAGAGAGAGGTGATGTGTGCTATGTTGGAGTACTCGTGTTGCTTTTGCTCTTTATGGTCTATCTGTCCGATTGCCGCTCTCTCTCTTTGCGGAGTTGCGGACGCGTAAGCTGCGGCCGCCTATTACACGAGCTGCTGACTCGCTCTTGCGCGCGTACATATGGATATAATACGTGTGTGTATACTTGGTTTGCTCGCGAGCCCGCAATGCCTTATTAACGCGTGTGTTTCGCGTTTCTTTGGCCATTTGCTCGGCTCACCTCTGATTCTCCAGACTTTTTTATATTTGTTGCGTCGAAGCTCTTAGCTAACGTTTGTTAGGGATTTTTGTTTTGTTTTTTTTTTTGTTTCGCGTTTGCTGATATGTTTTATTAATGACAAAATTTTTTTTTACAAACAGTTACGTCTTTATCGTTTCGGGCATTTTATTTTAAAAGTAATCATTTTTCTTTTTCCATCATTTTTCCGAAGATGAAATATGTTTTTATAATTTTTGTATTTATCGTATGATATAAAAAAAATATTGAACGATTAAATAGCTCTAAAGACAAATAATTTTTGTATTTTTCAAACATATGCACTACATACCCTTCAATACTCTTCTTTTCTCAATCTCTTTTCCATTAGAGAAAAAAAAAAAAAAAAAAAAAAAAAAAAAAAAAATTAAATTACAAAGATTATCCCAACAAAAAGTGCTGACTCTCGAAATCCTTGTATTATGTACATTAGGGAGGGGCAATTAACTTAAACAGGGCCAAAAAAGTTTGACCGCCATTACGCAGCAGAATATATCGAGGTAAGTATACATTGCACGCGTATAATATACTTAATGTACTTTTTCAACTTTGCGCATGGAGTAAGGAGAAGGAGGGAGAGAAGAAAAAGAGTCTCTCCACGCGTATAATGCGTAGGTATACACATCTCGTCAAATAAACTTCTCCAAGCACGGTAATAAGGTATTATCAATTAACTCGTAAAAGTTTGTTCGT